TACTTAAAGGATACAAACTCAATTTCAACATATATCAAACATATACCAAGTAATTTTCATTTCATACTAGTTGTTTGACTTTGACAGAAAAGTCGAAGCTGTAAAAATTTCCCATTATCCATTAATCATGCTTTAAACTCCTTCGTGACTCTTATGTTACACAATGTATGCGTTCAGTAAGTCCCTACCTCACTCAAATCCTTACCATATTTGACAAAACCCTTTCATGGTTCCATCGAGTTTGAGTATGTATCATGTGTGTAAATAGTACAGGCTATATACTATTATACCCACATCATACATAACCGACCTTGACTTCACCACTATAAGGTTCTGATCCACTAGTTTAGATTCTCCATACACTAGTCTTACTCCTGTTACTCACTATAAAAGCACTCAATGTAGCATTCAATGACTTCAACTAGTATTATACAAAGTGTCATAAGCATTTAACTAAGGCAATTCTTATCATCATTCATTGCATAGGATACTACCTACATTAAGGCATATAAATCCTATGTCTTAATTACACTTTCCATAACCAAAGTCTAAGCCTAGGAGTGGAATGATCCAATCCTAATTCGTTTAAACTATGGCTTTGATACCAAAGTGTAACACCGCAAAGTTTTCAAAACTTTTTCAAGGCTATGGTTTTAAATATATTCAGATTTTAACCCACATTTAACAAAAACTGGTCCCATAAAAACATTTACAAATTTAAAACATTGGGTGTTACCATTATGCAAGAATACAACCATAGGAAGCCAATAAAAATTACATCAACACAATTAACAAAGAGCTTAACAAGTTCCATTCCATTCTCTATCACTTGACTTCTAACTTCCATCTATGATCCTCACTCCTTAAGTGTAACCTGAGATACATGACATTAAAAAGAGATATGTAAGACAATAATGTCTCGTGAGCTATGTGGGTTTGTGACCTAAAACATTTATCACCTTTTCATCAAATACAATTTATTTTTTCAAAACATATATTTTCAAGCACTTTCAAGGAAAACTCTTTTTATACATATCATAAATATCATTTCGTATATTATCATTTCATTTCAAAAGATATATTTCCACATTCCATTCTATATCAAAACATTTCATTAGTTATAACGTAATTCAAGACATTTCTTTTAACATTCGATTCCTTATTTCATTAAAGGATAATTCTGGTGTTAAATTGTTACCATTTTTATACTTAGGGCCTAGCAATATCCCCAAGTCTATACCAAGGTGGAAATAACAAAATCAGTCCACCAAGGCATCATTTCCGTTAGGACATCTATCTCACGAAGGGGAGGCGCCACGCCGATAGATTCATCTATATCCTGTTATGGGAACATCATGGATTGAACAATATAATCATTTCATTACTTTCCAATTCTTTCCAATATTTTTCGTTACTTTCCATTTCTTTTCATTACTTTCCCTTTCTTGTCATTACTTTTCATGCTTTACACACTTCATACATTAGTATCAAAAACTCATTTAAAAAAGTAAATCATCTATATTTGAAAACATTTCAAACACATTTTCAAAACATACGAACTTCTAAAACGTTCTTCGCTTTCAAAAAAATTATTGTCTTCAAGGCATTCTTTCAAAATATCCTTTCCAAAAACTTTTGACACTTTCATTTTAAAATATTTCATATATCAAGCATTAGTGTTTCATTATCATAAAATCATTTTTCCATGTACCCCAAAGTGGAAAAATACCAACATGTACTCACCTTAATCACAAGAAGTCTACCTAGTCCTCTTCTAGTTCTTTTCCTTAGAGCAACACTCTCAATCACCACCTATATCACATGGATCGACATAAGTCATTAAAAAAGACCAAAATACCCCTTATATGTTTTTAACATGTAGATATTCCCCATAAAATTGTTTACTTCCTATTAGCTTATATATAAAGTTTGAGGGAAATCGGAGATCGTTTACTAGGTCTTTCAAGAAAAACCATACTCTTAACAGAACATTTGACACGACCTTTGTCAAAAAGGACACACCCTCGTCTCATGATTGACACGCCCTCGTGTCATTTTGACACACTCCATGTCACGATTACAGGTCACTATTTTGTGTAGAATTTTGCTGAAATATTTGAAACTTGTTCCTTAGATTTTCATTGGCCACCAAACTTTACCAAGTGGTTATTAAAGACTAAATAAAGGTTATAACTTCTCAAATACACAATTAGTCCCTATCCTCATGGTAACTTAATAGTTAATACCTTTATCAAAATATTAAGTTCATAATTCTTACAAACACTCAAATGAAAGGGTTAAGAGCTCAAGTTGCTCAAGAACACTTTTTAACCTATATGACTTATTCCCATATAATCTAATACATCGTTAGGTGTTATCAAGTGCTTAACATTATACAAGCCTGATGTTAATTCCTTAATGGAGTTATGGAATGTCTAATTCCGTTACAAATTTCCCATTTTGCCATTTAAGTCAAAACAATCACTAGAGCTAGAATTTAACTAGAATCCCTTCATGTTAATGTTCCAATAACATATCTAGAGCGTCAATTCATGATTATGAATGTCATTCACTTCCAATATGTCAATGATCATGTAGTTATCCTTAGATTTCACAAAATACTTGTATGGTCAATTATTTCATATATCAATATAGGAATCAAGCAACATCTTATGATTTAAATTCAAATTATTCCAAGATTAACCATTCTTGATTATTAACTTCCTTTACTCATTAATTTCTCAACTACAAAGTATTATTTCATCATATTGTCCCTAACTCCATTTCAATCCAATATTTTCCATGATTCTACGATCATGGATTTGTTTGAGTATTCCAATTGGATTCATTGTCATCAAATCATCAAGGACATAAAATACAAAACAATTTTATCATCAATTGCAATATCCCCAAATTAGATTTCTAGGGTTCATGGAGCTTTTTACCGAAATCATCATCAATAAATGGGATGATTAGATTGAGATTAAAACCATGGAAACCACTCAAGGGAGGTTAGAAAACCAAACTCTAATCATTGAATCTCATCAAATTTAACATTGGGGTTTTACCCGATTTACAAAATCGGTTTTTAGGCTAAGAGAGGAAAGAAATTATACCTTGTAAGCCTTTGTTCCTTCCTTTCCTTGCTTGGATGTTCAATTACTCACTTGAATCAAGCCTAGATGGATAAGGGATGAAGAATCACCATTAGAGAGGCTTTTTGGTGCTCAAACTCGTTCTTACTTCATAAGGGAAGAATGGATGCATCTTATTTTCGGATTTATCACATTTGGTCCCTCTAGTTTAAGTATTTTTTCCAATTCCCACCATAAACTCAATATTGGTGATTTTAACTCAAATTTTGACATAACAAGTCTTTCTCAATACATTATCTAACTTTGTAGTCCTTTCCACTAAGTCAATCCTTTGGTCAACTCACTTTGTTAATTTCACAGTTTTGGTCCTTTAACTTTTGAAATGTTATTCTTTTAACTTATAACTTTCTAAATTTCATATCAAATAATGATATGATTATCATTTGACGACTTAACTATATAAATAATATTTCATTTATTTATTTTATTAATTTAAGAACCTAGTCTTAAGTTTTAGGATGTTACACAATTTTCCAAAGTGATATTTATAACGTAGCATTTGCCTAATTCGTTGTTAGTGGACTAAAAATATATCAAAATCAATGAGTTTCAAATTATAAAAGGCACTAGCAACGAGACATTATTAATCGCAAAAATCAAAATGAAGCATGAATTACAATTAAAGGAATACATAGTACAATCGTTATAATATCCAGCAACTTCTAGAAAATATAATTTAGAAACACAAAATTATATCAAAATAGGGAGCGGAGAAGAATGTATTATTACCTTATGAAACGAATCAGAATAAACAGCTCGAACTAGCAAGTATGAGGTCTGTGTTTATCGAGATTTGCTTGTGCGAACTTACTCACAAAATTGACGATTTTTGCCAACTAGTGGTGAATAATGAGAGTGTTGAACAATGAGACCCTACATCGCAGCAAGGCCAACAAATAGGTATGGCACTTGTGAGTGCCAAGAAGATCGTTGAATAGCCACCAATGATGAGGTTGGAGCCATTGAGAATCTATCCTAACTACCATTACATATAACAAGCATTGTTTTTATTAAGTAAAATATTTTAAAAAATATCTTATGTATCTGATTGATGCATTATTTTTTTCCTATTGGATTCCTAGAAACATGATTAATCTTTGGAGAAGATATATGACTTAGACGCACCATTTCGAGAACATTTGTGTTTTTGGTTTTGAAATATAATGAACTAATTATGAGTTTGCAGGTTCTCATAAATCTTTTCAATCTCAAAAGAACATCTCTCTCTCTCTCTCTCTCTCTCTCTATATATATATATATATATATATATATATATATATATATTAAAAAAGAGTTATTAATACAAAATTTGTAAGAGGGAATTATACAAAATAATACCGACGAACTATTTATCATAAAAAATATTTCATCACATTATGATAAACTTGACAAGATTTTGTAATGACATGGTTTTTAAAAATTAATTATAATTTTAGTTAAATTTATAATAGTTCATAATATTTGTAAAAACTTAAATAATTTTTTCTTCTATGCCAACTAATGACAAAGGAAATAATTCATTCTTAGATTGTTTTTTTGTTGTTTTAAAGGAAGTAATTAATTTTTATATTGTTTATTTGTTGTTTTAATGGTTTGAAGTATATCATAATTCTATAAGGTTTAGGTTGTAAATGTGAATATCTTTAATTAAGTTGTTTCAAATATAAAATTAATGATTACCTAATTTGAAAAGTCATCAATATTCATTTTCTTAAAAGTTAAAGGATCGTGTGAGTTAACATTTGTCTATATAATGTCAAGAAATTGAGAACTAATAATATATAGACAAAAAACTTCACGTCCCCAACACATTGATTATTTGACTAAGTTCATACAAAATCGAGAATGAAGAGAACATTCCTTATGTGCTTTTTGCTTTTTGTTGCAGGTGAGCATTCTTTCTGTATGTACATAAGTCACTTCCACAATGGTCTCAAATTTTTTTTAATGAATAAAATAAAAGGATTAGGTGAGATTAGAAGGGAAAAACGTGTTCCCATTTTTTTTATGGAATGAAAGGAAAGGATTACTAACCCCACCCTCCCCCCCCCCCCCTCCCACTCACTCAAAATTATCCATCTAATTTTGCGATGATTATGAGGGAAAGCAAAATAAAAATCTTCCTTTTAATTTACTTGAAGCTCGAGAACACAATACACGATTGGTATTTTTTTTTGCCTTCCATTCTCTTTTTAACTTTCATTTTTTGTAATTTTAAAATTCAAGAAGAGGATGCTTATGTATCCTATGAAACAACACTTGTATTGGAATTAGCATGCAAGCAATTTACTGAATAATCCAGGGTATTTTAGGGCACTCTCATAAGGGGTTCTCGATATATATATATATTATATATATATATATATATATATCTATATCTATATATATATATATATTATATATTATAGAATATATATATATATATATATATAATATGAATTAACATCTACCTTTTCTTTTTAATTTATGTCTCAGGTTTGAAGGACGTGACTTCGTATTCACAAGATTCGGTTCCACCAGAATGTAACAGTTCTATAGATTGCTTTCATCGTTGTGGAATTCTTGGGTCTCATGTTTGTAAAAATCATCAATGTGTTTGTCTAAGTAATGGTGAACAAAAGCGCCTACGCCCACATGTGAAAATCGATAAAAATGTATAAGAATAATGTCAAAATGCAATATCAAGCGAAAAACAAAATTAATGATTAATATGAACTCTTTGAATTCTGCAACTTGAATCTTTTTTATCCGGACATATCTATGTATAAACAAACTAATGTTATATATTTATATGGTTTGATGTATATCATAGTTCTATAAGGTTTAGGTTGTAAATGTGAATATCTTTAATTAATTTGTTGTAAATATAAAATTAATGATTACTTAATTTGAAAAGTCATCAATATTCATTTTCTTAAAATTTAAAGGACGGTGTCAGCTAACATTTGTCAATATAATGTCAAGAAATTGAGAACTAATAATATATAGACACACAATTGCACATCCCGGCACATTGGTTATTTGACTTAATTCATAGAAATCGAGAATGAAGAGAACATTCCTTGTGATCTTTTTGCTTTTTGTAGCAGGTGAGCAATTCTTTCACTATGAAGAGAACATTCCTTGTCAGCAATTCTTTCTGTATGTACACAAGTCACTTTCATTATGGTCACAATTTTTTTTAATGAATAAAATAAAAGGATTAGATGAGATTAGAAGGGAAAAACTTGTTCCCAATTATTTTTATGGAATGAAAGGAAAGGATTACTACCCCCCCGCCCCCCCTC